ACACACACGCGCGCACACACATGCGTGTACATTATATATACAGTATATATATAGGATATGTGTGTGTATATACTGTATATACACGTGTGTGTGCATGCGCGTGTGTGTATATACTGATACTAATTGATATATTGATACACTATTCAGCTGAGTGTGATTTGGTTCAGCTAGTCAGTGGTGCTCACATAATGCACTGATTCACAGTAGAATATGCATTGAAGAAATCTTTCTAAGCTCTTAAATTTCCCTAATTTGATTAGTGAAAATTCTTTGCACAAAAAACAATGTTGTTTCTTGCTATGGACAGTTATTGGTGTAAAACGAAGGCATTATTGGACTGTGATGTCCACCAGATGAACAGAACCACTGGTTTCTCTTTAGGGCTTTGTAGTAACCACTGAGGGTACCTGACAGGTCAACCGTTCCCGTAGAAAAGCAGAACATGTAAAAATCTTAATAAGAAAACACTGTTGTACTCCACAGCTTGTCATTTGTGATCCAGTGTAGTAGGGGTGGGACAATAAATCGTTGTGTCGATTTATCGCGATAATTCTGAAATACGAGTGTAATGGTAGACCAACAGCAAATCAGAGATGCACTGGCGTCTTATGTTTATGGAGATGAGAACTAAAAAACTGCCCCAGAACAGCAATCAGTGTGGACTGTAGGCATCGATCACGTTATCATTGCAGAGCGCATATTGAGTCCGTGAGTAGCCTAACCTCTCCGCTCGGATCGCAGGTGGATTTCCCTCACTGTATGAGTGAGAGAGCGCCGCAGGCGCATCTAGTTTTATGTCAACAAAACTGGATGCTCTCTCTCTTTAGATATTGCAAGTGTGTGTTATGCAGTGGGCACCGGCCGGCAGAAACATAAATCTGCACCTATGGCATGGACGACAAAACAAAACCTCGTCAGAGCCGTAATGCGGTGCAGAAGTGTGCAGTGTGTGCTTGCCGCGTGTCTACATTTGAAATAACGAACCTGAACGCGCAAAAGAGGCGATGCGAACGACTGTCATGTGCGGGGCTCCGTTTTTGAGGAGAGGAAAGGTTGAGAAAACACTCCAGGTAAATTTTGAAATCTACCAGGTGTATATATATATATAGCCTATATAAAGTTGATAAGCAGTTAAATGTGTTGGTTTATACACAAAGAAATGTGTAAGCTTTTAATAAGTCCAAGAATAAAATGATTAATTTACTTAACATGTAACATTGGGGCAAATCGTGGCCTAATGGTTAGAGAGTCGGACTCGTAACCCGAAGGTTGCGGGTTCGAGTCTCGTTCCTGCAGGGATTGTAGGTGGGGGGAGTGAATGTACAGCGCTCTCTTCTACCTTCAATACCACGACTGAGGTGCCCTTGAGCAAGGCACCGAACCCCCGACTGCTCCCCTGGCGCTGCAGCATAAATGGCTGCCCACTGCTCCGGGTGTGTGTTCACGGTGTGTGTGTGTGTTCACTGCTGTGTGTGTGCACTTTGGATGGGATAAATGCAGAGCACTAATTCCAAGTATGGGTCACCATACTTGGCCACATGTCACGTCACTTTTCACTTTTTTATGTTAAATTTGATTTACAGAACTTTTTGTGCTGTTTTCTATCAGTTTGGACTTGAATAAAGAGAGAAAACTTGCACTTAACCTTTCACAGGCATGTAGTTTTCATAGTTCGACCGATATCGTGATTTATCATTTATAGGATTGTCTAGCAGTATATCGGTTATCGCAGAATCGCTGTATTCGTGATATTATCGTATCGTGAGCCATGTATCGTAACGTGAGGTACCCTGCGATTCCCACCCCTAGTGTGCCACGAGGAGCATTCCTCTGCTTTCGCTTCACTGTGGATTTAGGGAACTCAACTCTATTTGGATTTGGCGGAGAGCCTTGAAAAGTGTTGGCTGGTGTAAAAGTTGTCAACCAACAACTTAAATTAAGCCCTCTACATCTCTTCATCTCCCAGCATTATTACAAACTCCTTGTCCTTGTAGTGCACAGAGAATTTATGTGTGTTTGTACATGCAGAGTCGGCGAGAACAAAAAGTTTATAACCCCACTTCGTTGGTTTACTTTTAATGATTTTCCTATAGATGCAGTTCCAGCACAATATATTGCCGTTGGATGGTGACATTTTACAGGACATCCTGACTTTATTGTAAAGTAGTTTTTATCTTGCACAGGCGAATGAAGCGATCAAAGGCTGTGGTAGGGCTGGACGATATGGCCAAAATTGATATCACGATATATTTCTTAATTTCGGTCGATACAATATAATTCCGATATCGATATGACCACTATTTATCTGTATATCGCGATACATATTGATATTGAATTATTGTCCAGCCCTAGGCTGTGGTGCTTTTTTTCTTGTTCTCTGCATTTGATGTTCAGTGACTTCAGATGCAGAGCTTTACATAAAAGCAATAAGAAGTGATCTGCTCACTCTCACTCTTCTTTCTCTCCCTTCGTCCAACATGTACTTCAGGATCTGATGAAAATGGATCCCAGTCCTCATTGGATGGTTTAAATGGCCTATTAGACTGCAACCAAACAATTGGCCTGATGGTGGAAAAGTGCCATATATATGTTCGCACCAATTGCATAACCCTAAACCCTTTTCATGCAGTCCGAAACCTGACCAATCGATTCTGTAAGTGTTAAAAATGTGTATAAAAACAGATTTACAACCCAGATATTAACCCAGCTGTTTGCATAGCTTCTCAGTGAACTACGGCTATGTGTATTAAATGCTGCTCCATCTGAAAGCAGGTGAAAATACCACATTTAATAACATATATACTTTATTTTAATGAAAATAATAATAATAATAACTCAGATATTCAGATATATATAATAACACCATATATTGTCATAATCGTGTGTTTATTAGTCACGTTGAATCAATAAAAGCAGTTAAATCTTCTGTTTATCCAGCTACCATTATAGGGATTTCCTGATTTCTTCTGCGAGGTGTATTTGGAGTTTCAGTGCGAGAGCGCCCTCTGGCCTTTGGATGGAGATTTACTGCTGATCACAGAACCGTGCTTCACTGAAAGATACGCATGACAATCAGCTTCTGTCTAATCACGATTTCGATTCCATTTCGATTTATCGTGCAGCCCTACTGTTTAGCATCTCTAATCTGGAGCTGATAGTGCTATAACTTATTTCTTCTTCAAACAAGGATTCCTCATTACTACTCAAAGCAATTTCCTCTAAAAATACAGTCCTCCTTTTGTGCTTCTAAACTTTTCCACGCCGGTTTCAGGGATATATACCACTCTTGTGTCATTGTTTTCATCTTTTCATTTTACCCATCAGTGAAAAATGATCTCAGCATTAAGGACACAGATGTAACTGACTGTGTTTACGTGAATACTTGCCAAAACGGGTATTTTGACATAATTTTGTGTGTCCTTTTATGTGCAATAAGACACAATTCGGTATTTGCGTGCTGTTTGAGAGGCAGATTTATGTGTGCGCTTTGGGTGGGATCCATATTTGTGCAAATTTGAACAGTTTTTGACTGAAATGCATTTTATTTTTATTGGACTCTTGCCATGATGACCATAAAAGATGTTTGCATGACTGTGCTCACCTGTGTTGGTCAATGGGTTGATTGCAGCATTTAAGCATCCATATTTTAAATTGTCACCATTTTCATTATTCAGGAAACAAGGACGCTTGCAGAGATTGCCAAGGCTGAGCTAGACGGCACGATGCTGGGGAACAGGCCCATCCGTATTCGTTTTGCCACACATGGGGCCGCGCTCACAGTCCGAAACCTGTCTCCAGTGGTGTCCAATGAGCTACTGGAGCAGGCCTTCTCACAGTTCGGCCCGGTTGAGCGGGCAGTTATGGTGGTTGATGACCGAGGACGAGCCACAGGCAAAGGGATTGTGGAGTTTGCCAATAAGCCTGCTGCCCGGAAAGCCTTGGACCGCTGTACAGATGGAGCCCTTCTGCTTACAATGTAATAACTTTTCATTTTCACAGCATGATCAATGTAGATTAGCGATTTACCTTTATATATCTTTATTTATTACACGGCTCTTTGGAATACTTGATTCTGATCTGAGTCGTGACATTCTGAGGTCTGTTATCCCTCGATAAGAACCGCTAAAAGCTGATAACACCGGCTCATCCGCATAACTGAAGTCTGCGCTGTACTCTTGCTAGGAACAGTGGAAGCTTTGCGTTTGTTTAGCTAATAAAATATTAAAACTGCATTCTATATTGTGTGTACAGTTATTTAATTATGTCATCCTGGTATGGCTCTCTCGTTTCATACAAACACAGCTGCTGACATTTTGCTACGATTGTTTTGTATACTGTAATGGATTATAAGATAACTAACAAACTGGTAAGATTTTAAAACATTTGAATCTTAAATCAATATCTTTTATCATAATTATTTATGTGGTGAAATGTGTAGTAAGTGTTTGACTGCAGCGTTTCCCTTAAATGTCCGTCTAGTTTGAACTTGCCGCTGCTCGCAAACTGCTGTCTTCACAGAAGCTTTGCGTTCAAATATTTCAACTCAAGTCAATATTTCGTGTCTAATTATTTACTTATGAGGCAAGTAGCCGTGTAATAAGTGGGATAATGTACATCCAGCCGGTTGTTATCGCAGAATAACCTCCTACAGAGTAAAACAAGACCCCTGATCACCCTGTTGGGGTTATTCTGCGATAACAACCTGCTGGATGCACATTATCCCTTACATATCAAGTATGTCAAGTCAAATAAGAGAATATTTGAAGTTGACGTGGCTGGTCTTTATGCCTTGTCAAATGGATTTTTTGACATGGATCTTTTATTTTGTCCCTCAGGTCTCCTCGTCCAGTCATTATTGAGCCAACAGAACAGTTTGATGATGAAGATGGGCTACCAGAAAAGCTGTTGCAAAAATCAGCACAGTATCATAAGTATGTCATAAGACATTTAGATTAATTGTATTCCAAATGTTTACAGTATAACTAAGGAGAAAAAATAATGCCTCAGTGGAGTTTTAATTTAACCATAAATTAATCAACCATCTGCAATCCAGGGAAAGGGAGCAGCAGCCACGCTTTGCTCAGCCAGGAACCTTTGAGTTTGAGTACTCCTCGCGCTGGAAGGCTTTGGATGAGATGGAGAAACAGCAGAGGGAACAAGTGGAACGCAACATACAAGAGGCAAAGGAGAAACTGGAGGCTGAAATGGAGGCTGCCAAACATGAGCATCAACTCATGATGATGAGACAAGGTAGTTTTCTGAAAGAAAACAGCTATGGATTGTTTCTATTATGTTGATACTGTGATGAAAACAGACAGGAGTACACATAGGGCTGGGCGATATAGTTAAAAAATGTATCACGATATAATGTTTCATATCTTTCGGTATCGATAATTATTGAAAATGTTTTATAAACTTTCTTAAACAGAGAGCAGTAGAAAAAAAGTTTAAATTTAACCACTGTATTTTTAATTTACCCAATTTATTAAAACAAACAACAACAAGCTATTTCAGTCTTAACAGACAAAATAACAAATAAAACAAAATAAAATTGAAACAAATATCTCCTTTCTTATATTTTATATGCAAATTAAATAGGCCACAGGAGGGCGCAATGAGCAAAATAATGCACCTCATTAAATTGTTTATTCAATGCAATGAAATAACGGCAGGCTATAAAAAAGTGCATACTGTCTAAACTAATATTTATAAATCAAATATGATTTCGTAAATTGCATAAACAATATGAACAAAACAGCATTGTGTATTTATACATAGATTAATACAAATAGCCAAAGCACCGATCACACGATTGCATTTAAAAATATATGAGACGCAGTGGAATGGAATAAAACCCCAAATTCTCCAGACATGTTTTCTAAAAGTTGAACCTCTTTTAACTTTACATGGCTTTCTATTCATCTCTTGTGCGAGACGTGAGTGTTCAGTCACAGTTGAGTGACACTTGCATCATCACTGCATCTTGTGCGCCGCTGATAAGGCTCCGCACACCTAAAATTTAAATAGGCCTACACCGTTTTTGCATTCGAATGCGAATTTTTATTTTAAAATCGATTAATATTCCTTTTTTGATTCCCAGTCTCCTCATCGCAGGCACTCATTTCAGCATGTGTTTGTTTGTTCTGTTGGCTCTCTGCTTGTCAATCATAACACACGCCTTTAAATGAAAAAAACCCCAGCAAACTATCGTGCGATATATCAAACATTTTTTCTATCATTATCGATGAGGGTGTACCGTCGATAAATATCGATACCGTGTTATCGCCCAGGCCTAAGTACACATGACATGAGTGTCATATACCACAGGGCTGCAATCATTTCCCTGCTTCAGGGAACAGTACTGATGTTCTTCACTTTGTCACTGAAACATTAGTGTATTTATACCCACAGATCTCATGAGACGTCAAGAGGAGCTGCGGCGCTTAGAGGAGCTCAGGAATCAGGAGCTGCAGAAACGCAAGCAGATTGAGATGAGGTGTGCTTTTACACAAACCGTGTTCCCATTTGCCATCTTAGCAGCATTCTGAAAATCAGCATCCTTAGCTAAAAACGCCTTGCTAATGAAATGAAAAGCCCCACTGTGCAAGTCAGGGTTCCCACGCGTCCTAGAAAATGAGAGAAAATGTAAAATGTCCTGGAAAATCTTGTAGTTGACCTGGAAAATTATTATAAAAAAATGTAATTGTGTTTTCCTTTAGCCAAGAACGAACGGTTCACCACTGGCCCGAAACTATTAACGTTAGAAAACGCTGGAACGGCCATAAATCGTAACCGGCCTGTTTTTGCTCCAAACGCACGATCGGCCACCGGCTCTTTTGTTTTATTTCAGCCAATCTCTGCTCCAGACTTGTTCCGAACTGTATTGCATGCATTTTCCAAAATGCGTCATCTGTGTCAGAATGCTCTGATCGGCCCAGACTTCAGCGTTCTGAACTCATCCGTGCTCATACCGGTAAATTGTTCACACATGATATCTTAACTGTAATTTTCCGGTAATTTACCAGTAAAGTCTGTATGCGGGAAAGGCCCGTCTACTGTTTCTGTTTCGTGCAGATGTTTTTTTGTGTTGCAGAATTTCACAAAGATAAAGTCAGACTATTCTGTTTTTGCTTCAGATTCTGAAATTACATTTACTTTAATATAATTTAAATCAGAAACTGCTCATGTATGTAGAATCTTTCTTGGTGTTTGACTCTAATTTTAAATGGCTACAGAGAGTTCGGCCTGTAATAGAGCAAAAAACATCTTGTTAATGTAGTCATATTTGCATTCTATCTCATCTCTTGCTTTAAAAAATAAAATAAATATTAACAAAATCGGTATCAGAATTGGCCCATTTGCTTGGGAAAAATAACTTAATTGGCCATGAAAGATTTGGTGCATCACTACTGACTTCTGACAGCGTGAACATTGATTTGTTAGTCAGAATCCACTCATTTTCCACTTGACCCTTTTAAAGCGATACTTAATTTAAAAATA